TGCTCCTCCTTGAACACAACTTGACTTCTTTGAAGGAAAATAAAAATAAAAAAAAAATCCTGCCCCAGTCGAACCAGCCAGGCCATGCAGAGTAAAAGCCTGAGGCGTAGATTATAGACTTTTCATCTGTTACCAAAGTTTACATTTTTTGCATAAAAACCGTATTGGGACAAGTTAAACTATGTAATTTTTAGTATCAACAGAGACTCCTCACTCCAGTTCATGTCACTGGTCCTCAGGCTGTTTGTGTTGCTGCATACAGCAACACTTTTAATGCTGTGCACAGCATAGAAAAAGAGTCCCAAATAGAACCTGATTGTGTCTAATATGATGAGGTTAGGAGTGCATTTATTTAAGCAGACGTTTGTTCTGTCTTAATAGGCTTGACAAACTCGAATACTCTCTAAGGTGCAGGTTAAGCCTCCCTTGAATAAACTGTCAGCTTAATGGCCCCTGCCTTACGCTGATAACTGCCAAGGTGTCTCCTGCTCTTTGGAAGGAGGTGGATAAAGATGCTAAAGTCTCTTTGTAAAGGCACCATGAAACATAGCCCAGTGTGTTTTTATTTCTCTCTTTGAAGTGAATTGTCATTCAGCTCAGGATGTTCTTTGAAAATACACCCAGCCTCCAAACTCCTCGGTTTTCTTTTTGTGAACTTCAGCACATTACATAAAGTTGGAGCAGCCGCCTTGTCCTTGAGTGAAACTTACAAGTTGCCTGCCTTTTCTGTTTTGTTTGAGTTACTTCACAAGTTGATTGAGGAAGCCAGTCATGGAATGAGAGGCAGATAGCGGAGGACACTCTGGCAGGCCGAATGGTGGGAGCCAAGGAGTCTGTCAAACCCCATTTTTGCCACAAAAATGGAAGTAGATGTGCACAACTCTCGCTACAACCGCAGGACGTAGAAGAGAGTGCAGAGAAGAGGAGAACGTGTGACGGGAATACCAGAGCACCGTGTCACTGCTGATGACAGTCAATTTGTCTGAGAGTCAAGGGGCTTTGAGAGGTGCACTCCACTGCAGGCAGGAGCAGAGCTGATGGTATTAATAAGGGGGGGGTACTTACCTGTTTTCCATGAGCATACTGTACAACACCATGCATGTCCCACATTCACTCATCCATCCATTTGTAGACCGCTCTCAGCGTGGAATTGAGAGCTTTTGTGCTTTGTTTAAACACCTTAAACAGCCTGTGTTTATGGTTGGTTTTCTGACAAGTGACATCTTGTAGCCAAGCATATAATGACTGTTCACTCTCAGCAGCAAAAAGTCGCTGTGGCGCCATGTTGTTCTACCCCTGCAAAAAAAAAAAAAAAAGTCTCAAGGAGGATTGTGTGACTTTGACATAGGACACTGTGATTTCAAGCGATATTGTACTGACATCTTCTACCGGTCAAAACTGGTTTCATTTAAACATGACAATAATCATTTCCTGTTTTTCAACCAAGTAGTTTTACCATAGCGTATTTGTAATGCATTGACGTTATAGAAGTAAATATTTAAGTTATTTAATGTCTAAGAACATTGCTATCAAACATAATGTTGGTTTTGAAATGTGCATTATCATTATGATGAGGGCTGAATTGAATCTTCACATATACATTTTTTGGGATGGAAATTATCAAATTCAAAGATTTGCACAAATTGTATAAAAACTGGCAACATTTTCCTTTTTTGCAGTTTTTCCAAATTAAGTCCAAAAACTGCAATTTTCTGTACTTACATGAATATGTAATGTTTACTGAAGTCTCATGCAAATGTTGCTAGAAATGTTCTCTTATCAGACGAAGGTGCATCCTGTTCATCCTGTACTGTGGGAGTCGTGCCATATGCAGATGAACTCCAAAGCTTTCATGTTATTCATTTTCATTTATTATTTCCTGCCTGCCTTTTGTATTACAGTTCTTCTCCTTCTTCTTTCTCAGACACTCTAACTATCAGTTGCTCAGATGATACATCACAATGAAAGCTGCTGCCTAAATTAAAAGGGATTTTCTTTTGAATTAGTCACCCACTTGCTTTAAAATAGACACAGATATGAACAATGTAGAAATCATAATGTACAACCACAACATTGCTCTTGACTTCAGAGTCCCTTGGGACATCTGATACAACCTTCCTTGCATGATATGGACAAACAGTCTCAGTATCTCCTGCAGCTCCCCCCTCGAATGTTAGTTGGAACGCTTGGAACATGTTTACCACTGCTCTATATTTTTATACTGCATTCAGTATTTAATGTTTTCAATGCAAATATCCATCCAGCCCAGAGATTTGAAAAATTGGGACACATTGGGACCACTGCAAATATTGAAGATGTCTTTTGAAGACACCAGGAGACTTACGAATGATTTTATATCACTTGATTACTATGATTCGCTTTTTCTCCTGTCTGCATTTCTAAACTGTGGCACAGCTGTAGATTACAAATGGTTCTTTCACTTTGAGGATTATTTTTTCAGTTTCAGATGGATTTGGTTTCTACCCACATCTTTGATGGCTGATCTTTTAACCCTTTACGATCTGACAACATCCTGAAATCCCCTCACAGGGCCCTTACTGTCCATGGTTAAGTCTAAGATCAACATCAAAGGGGACTGGGCCTTTGGCATCTGTGGCCTTGGACTCTGGAATAAAAATGCTGTGTGAAAATAATATAACTCACTTTTTCTTTTTCTCCTAAAAGTCTTTCATATACACATAACTTATTCATTACACATAACTTATATTTGATTCAGTACCTTTATGGTGATCTGGGTATCAACATTCACACTAATAAAAAACTTGATTCAGCACATTTGCATATGCAAATACTAACCTTATATAAGTTTGGTTTTTGAAACAATTTCCCTCGGGAGCAGAAAACTGCAGAAAACATCTGCAATTTAAATACATGAACCATTTTTTCAGTGTAGCTGCGTATGATGAGTTAATCATCGTTTGCCTGAAGCGTGGAGTGTAAACTGTGATAACTGGTTATCATGAGCTGAACTTGTAGGTGCTGTAATGGAGGAAAACCCGGGTTAGTCCTGTCAGGATCAACAGTGATGACTAGAAAGCCCTGAAGGGTCTCGTAGAGCAGAGCAGGAGTTTGTCTGGCTGCTCAGTGTTGGGCTACATTGTGGAAATCTGACAAACAAAAGGTCCCATGGTGAACATGAATTGAATGACTTCTCCCTGTGTAGGCATCTGTAAATACCCTGGGTGTAATTACAGAATCCCACCAGTAGGGAGCACACTTTTCATACCATCTCAGTGGCGTCTGTGACACTGAACTGTATGTTACAGCTTTCCATGGTGAAGGAAACACAAGCTCTGTTCTTATACCCTACATTAGCATGAGGAGGTGTATGGCTATGTGTACGGCTACTGAGGTGGTGAGTGCAGCCTAACATCAGCATCCAATCAAATCCACTGTATGCATAATCTACACTGCACATGACTGAGCAAGGACAAGTACAGCAGCCTGTATTGATGTAAAAAAGTATTAGTAACTGTTGCTGCCACCTCTCCACCAAGGCTTTATCTAATATCAACATCAGATTATATTGAGTTTTAAAAAGGTGAGAATTAAAATAATCCACTCTCGGTTAACCACTGTTAAAAAACACTTATCTAAACAACCTTTACTAAGTGGGAATATTTATGTGTTTCAGTGGTTCTGATTATTCACTTTCAGACTCAAAAATGGTGACACTAGAAACATCAAGAGAACCATTAAATCATTGAATTATTTAACTGTGTTATGAATAAATATGAGTGCGAAGATGACTCCTGGGGTAATATGAAAATGTAACACCCCCACCACCACCCACACACACACACACACACACACACACCCTCTCATTTCCTTCTCTCCCCCAAGGCGCCTGCGTAATTAGTTCATATTGTATCAGTCTGGTAAAACATACAGCTCACACACATATGCAGCCTCACGGGCACATAACCTGACTGTATGTTTTAAAGCAAGCCAGCTCTTTAGCTCGCCTGCTCTCTCTAAATACGGGAAGTATTATGATAATTATTAGTTGCAGTAGAAGGCTAATTGTTTTACTCGTGTTTATTTGTTGATTTTATTTTTATTTTTATTTTTTTTATGAAGCCGTTAATTAACTTATTGAAATTCTTTTGATTTTCATTTTCTCACTTACTTTTTCAAATTATCTTCACATAAATTGTAATTGTTTCCTCCTGAATTGACGCTTATCATGTGGAGACGTGGATCGGGCAGGATCCCAAAATCTCTGTTGAAAGATGAGAACAACTTCCAAGGTGGGCAGGGCAGGGCAGGTAGAAGTGTTTATAGGGAGGAGGGGGGAAGTTGCTTTTGCTGTAAACGGCTTTTTCCCAAATCTTTGCTCATGGGTCTCTCGCCAGGAGCTCGGCATTGTGGCCCGGTCTACCATCCGCGTGTTCTTGGAAAAAGCGTCAGAGAGCAGCTGAGAGAGGCTTAACATTTCAAACGTCTGGCGGTAGGCTGCAAAGTTTCCACCCTGAAAACACTGTCATGCAGCAGCAGCAGCAGCAGCAGCAGCAGCAGGAGAAGAAGAAGACTGGAGCAGGACACCGATTAGTTTTCTGATCAGTTCTGATCTGTCACCCCAGGATCGTCCTCTCAGTGCGTCGTTTCAGTTTCTGTCTGATGGAAGCTGATTTATTTATTTAAATGGGAGAATCTGCTGCAGCTTACGTCTGTCATGCTGCAGGTGCTGCAGTGTTAGAATTTGTTGTGTTGGAGCTATTTCTGTGATTAAAATGCGTGCGTAAAACAACACCACCGCTGTGCTTTATCAGCTCTCCTGACTCTTTAATGAGAACAGACAATGTTTGTTTTTTCACCAGTTCTACTTTTAAAAAAAAGTAACAACCACAATCTCGTTTAATTGGTAGTATCTTGAGTTAAAATCCTGTTTTCATCTTTTGCGTAAAAGTCTGCTCAGCGTTAGCCAGCAACGCACTGCTTTAAAAGTGGGATTCCTGCGCTGTTAGTCATAGGCCTAGATGTCCTCTCAGCTGGAAGAAGGCCTGCAGCAGGAGACCACAGCAAAACCTGAAGCACCCCAATCTGAAGAAGTTGTTGACGTGACAAGTCCTGACGGATGCGCCGGGCAGCACGGAAGCCCCGGGGACGGAGGACAGAATAAAGTGACCCCGTCATCAGAGCGCCAGCAGCAGAAACCACGCAAGATGACGCGGAGCCCCAAATGCGCCCGCTGTCGGAACCACGGCGTCGTGTCGTGTCTGAAAGGCCACAAGCGCTTCTGCCGCTGGAGGGACTGTCGCTGTGCCTGCTGCCTGCTGGTGGTGGAGCGGCAGCGCGTCATGGCAGCGCAGGTCGCGCTGAGGCGGCAGCAAGCAGCGGAGGTGAGGGGAGCACAAGGGCAGGTCAGTGATGGAGAGAAGATGGAGAATAAACAGATGGGTAGATGTGACCTCCTGCAGGTGATTATCAGGAGGCAAATAGCCGTTTAGAGGCAAACAACAAAGTCTATGAAACTGCTGTGGGTCAGTACCGGAGCCTATTCTTATACATGATACTGAATTCATATATGATAATAAATAATATATATTTATATACATTTATTAATCACCACATAATTTCCTTTAGCTGTTTTCTCAAGAGAAAAGCTCAGATACATATTTTACTTTTCAGAAATAACGCTGGAGGTTGAATTTTGACAGCTATTGTTACTTTCCATCTTTTCAGCTAATGTGTGTGACAGAAGTCAGACTATCTCATGGCTGCAATAGGGGGAAGTTTGATATTATTTGTATAACAATACAACTAGAACAGCTTGAAGCATATTTTATTTATTTCTTCACCATGATATTCAAGTCAGATGTTGAATATTTGACTAAGGTTTTATTCACTATTTTATAGCAGACTCCTAAGTGTTATTCAAAAGAATGGAGTGAGCTGTGGTTATCTAAGTGCAGCTTTATTTATTTGCAAAGTCTTATTATGATCAAGATCAACAAAATGCATTAATACAAAGCAGTCATTGAGAAATTTCTGCCAACATCCCTCTGAGGAATGAGTGTCTCAAGCTTTAGTTTGTTTTGCTGTTTGTTCCAGTAATAAGAAGCACAGCACCAGAAACCTGTCTGCATTCGAAACTGAAGGCAGAATGTAAAATTCATAATTATAGAATAATAACATTATCAATACATATTTTAGATTACGTCATAAATAAATATTGTTGATCAAACATTCTATCAAAATATAATAACTAAAATAAAAAGTGAAGTATAGAACAGGGTATTTATACACTCCTCCATACAAAATGACTTGCATTTATATCTATTGCACATTCCTGTAGTGTCTCTCTCACTTTTTTCTTTTAAATCTTAGAATCACACAGACCTTTACTTGCCTCCTGTGATGTGTTAAATACCTTTATAATGTCTCTTGGGGGATGGTCGCAGGATAATATGATTGTGTCCAAAAGTCTAATTCCTGTTCCCCTGTTTCTCCCAGGGCAAGAAGGGGGTCAGGTGTGCAGCTCCGTTGCGGAGGACAGCGTATCAGCGTTACAGCAGAGCAGCCGAGCCAAGCGTCCTAGCTAAGAGCATCCTGCAGGGTAAAGTTTAATTAACATCTCCTTTCTCATTAACAAACCTCTTTTTCTCCCAGACTGTGATAGAAAGTGCGGGGGGGGGGGTTAAGTAGATCAGATGAAACATTCAGGATTCATGGAAGATATTGCTGCTAGTGGAGGAAGTGATTCACTGCATGCTGACTTGTCAAACTAATTTCTTTTTTACTAAAGGGTGTGTATTCACATGTCAGAAATAACTTTTCTCAGGCAAGAAAATTGTAGCGAAACTGCTTCACATGCTGGCAAATAAAACTACAGGCATGAGAGCAAGGTTTTGTTGGATTTCTGAGGACATTGATTCCCTGCTGGTTTCCCTTCACTTTAACCATAACTAATACATGTGTAATCCCACCTGCATGTACAGAGCCTTCTTTGGCTGACACTGCCTCTTGGATGTCATTACGCAGCATTAACACACATTTATTTTATCACTGTGGCTTCACTATTTGACAACAACAGACCATTACTGTAATACACAGTGTGTATTAATACTTGCTGGCTTGCAGTCAAACCCTGATGGAAGCTAACCAACTGCATAATTAAAATAATGAACAACAAAATATTCAAACATAAACACACAACAATTAACTGCTCGGAGCAACTTCATAATTCATAAGTGGATTAAATTCATATATAACAGCAGCGTGTGACTTTTCTCCCACGTTCAGGGCTGAAACCGGTGGTGCCTCTGGAGGAGGACACCTCCTGCTGGATTAAGCCGACGCAGCGCGATCAAACACACTTCACGTGCCCCTCCATCAGCGCCCGGATGAGGAAGAGGCGAGCCTTCGCAGACAAGGAGCTGGAGAACGTGATGCTGGAGCGAGAGCTGAGACAGAGAGAGCTGCAGGGTGACCTCTCCTTCCCCTCCACAGCCCTCGTCCCCGTGCTTCACCCTCCACACTTGTCCGTCTCACCTAGCCTCCACTGCTGCCCTCTCAACAAGGACCCCAGTGCTGCAGGGGCATCCAGCTATGTGCCTGTGTATAAATATAAGCCTCTGTACGAGTGTGACCTCCAGTTCTATCAGTTCTTCCATCTGAAGAGCAGATCGTCCACAGAGGGCAACTATAATGACCTTTTATGCCGAAACTCAGAGCAAGCCAGGGGGGACGAGGAGGTGCAGAGCGGATGGAAAATCTGCGAGAAGAAAGACAGACCAGAGCTGATGCCTCTACCATCACAGCATGGACTCAAAAATCATGGCGGCACAGGTCTGTCAGGTCTAGAACTTGTCAAACCCCCCTCAAAGCCAACAGAAATAATGGACTCAAATGGCTCTTCATCCATCACACACTCTGTTTTTAGATCAGATCAGCCTATCCTGGGCGCATCAGGCGTCAGCGCAACCAGCAGGACTTTTGATCCCAGACCTCTGACAGCTAAAGGCTGGAGCGCAGACACTCCTGCCGCCCAGGCAGGTCCTCATGCTGACTCTGTCAAGAGCCCTCACGGCAGCTCAGTCAGGACTCCCGCTGTGAGGCCATTACCTTTCTCTGTGGAGGCACTGCTGAGAGCCTGACAGGCAAATGGAAAGAGCACTTTGTTTATGTGTGGACCAAGAATTGAGGTTGAGGGTATAAATATAAAAATGGCTAGTTCTGTTACAGGTTTTCAAACGCTTTTCTTGAGCTGGATGCTTTAAAGTGGCAAAAGGTGAAATATTTAAAAAACATTTTCCAGTTTGTAGGCATTTTTTTTTTCTTATTATTTTTCATTTAAATGTAAAATCATTAAAAATATAACAATGAACAGTATATATATATATATGTATTTCAGTACTTGGCTACATTGATTATATTTTGTACAAATATACACTTTAACAATCTCATGTTTTTTATAGTCCTCTGTCAGCAGTCTGGTACTGAACCACTCTGCTTCGAGCCTCTCACATTAATCACATTTTATTCTCTTTTCCAGCAGAAGAAATATAAAGAACTTCCACAAAACAAAATTAATGAAAAAGTCAAGAAGGGTTTCAACTTGTACCAATGTCTTACTTGTGATTTTTGACTTTGATTTTGAAATCAAAGCCTAGTTGTGGCTGGCTGAACTCAGGGCTGCTCTCAGGTACTGCAGTGTCAAAACAAACCAGGTGCTGCTCGGAAATCTCTTTCTAACTCGTAAGAAAACTAACAATGAGGGGAGGAAATGAGGTGAGGCAGGTGGTTAGCCAAGAAGACAGTTAAAAGGAGCAAAGAGTTTCCATAAATGGTTCTACAATAGCACAGAAAGGGTTGACAGTGAAATCATCCATCTCTGATTTTTCTACATCTGTTGGATCCTTTTTTACCAAGTGAGGCATATGTATTCATTATTTATTGGTATTTCACAAGCTCCATTGTTCTCAAAATGTAAGCCGTTGTGGCAGAGTGTAGATTATCATTACGACTGTATAAACCACCAATCATATGGCGCGCTGTTTAATATTTTATACAGTATCATTTCTTCAAACGGGGATAGATAGAAGATGGGAAATATTCACCAAAGGGTGAGAATGGCAGGGTGCCAGCGTTGCCTAGGCAACATTGTTCTTTATTGCATTCTGAGCCTGACGTCGGGCGAGTTTGTTTGAACACGTATTTGATCTATATCCACTTTCTACTTTTTCTCTTCTTCTCCGTTTTTTTTTTTTTTTTGTTCTGTGCTGTAATCTCTTAAAGATGGAGGTCAGATACTTTTGACAACTCTGGACCTTGTGGCGTCAACACAGAGACGATAGTGCACCGCTCCGTGTCTGTTTGCGTGTATCTACCAGCATATCAGAATGCCTTTCTCCCCGTCCTTTCACAGACAGACAGAGAGGGGAGACTGGCACACAGGGAGACGAGGTTGTGAGCCTGAAAAAAAGCTCAATATGTGCCATTGTGTTTCACTGTACACTATCTGCACCGATTTCACAACACATCCTCTTCCTTGCCGAGAGTGCAAATTGCCATTTTCACTATGATGTTAAAAAGATAAGCATCAATCACGAAGGGGTGATAATGACTTCTGTGAAGAATAACACACAGAGGATATAAATCAATTCCACCCACCCCCCCAACCCCCCGGGAAAGCTTGGGGAAAAGCTCATTTATCCAATTCTCCCATGTTTCATTCTGGGGTGTCCTCAGACGAGGCGTGTGGCGGCTTAATAGATAGCAACCCTGCTCTGAAGTGCCACTCACGTTCCACCATTCTTGTTAGGATTGTGCCAGGGACAGACAGATTAGCTTTATTGTTCTGTGCTCTTTGGAAAGGTTTGATTCGATCTTCAATTGCCAGTTGATTAACATTTTCCTTTGTGGGCCAGTAGGAGGAAAGGGGAGAGAAAGAGAGCATGTGGGGGGTGGGGGTGGGGGGGTTATTGGAGTCGGGCCAGAATGCTGACAAAGCAGTTTCAACAGGCTGAAACATGTTTTTGGATTTGTAGCGGCCCCAACCCTTCTCCGTCCCCACCCTCTGCCTTTTGTCGCCCACCTCTGGCTCTCCTGCTGTTCATTCTCTGGTTGTGCCTCATTTCCATTTCAGCCAGATTGATTTCACTCTGTTCAAGGTAGAAAAGCTTTGCTTTGGCGTTTCCCTGTAACTCTGATCTTAATATTGTCATCATACAGACTATTGGCCGCAGTAGTGACAGGAAAGATAGGATACAATGAAAGAAAAGAGCTGGAGTGAGCTGGTGGGTGGGAGAGACATGACAAAGACCCAGCACAACTCAAAACTCCATTTGTTCCTCTCCACCCTGTTATTTCGGACTTGGAGGTCCTCTTTTCCTCTTTCCCTCCTTCCACTAATAGCATTGTAGCCTTTGCACATGCACTGTAGCACAGAAATATCAAAATAATCTTTGTTTTCCCATTGCCTTCATTTCCTTTACCACGTTGCAGTGTTTACACTAGCTGTGTGCAAAAGCAGACGTGCAGGGAAGGTAAATTCTCAATCAAGGGAGTTTTTCAAAGGATTCTGACCACACTTCAAGACCTGCCTGAAGAGCCCCAGACCTCTCTACTTGCTTGGTATGATCAGTTATTTCTCCCCTTGGACAGGTCATCAGGAACATTTAGCATCAGGGTTCAGTGGAAAGCCTTTGATCGTCCTGCCAGCCCTCCTCATTACAGACTGAGAGTGGACTAAAAGCATATGTCTTGGTGTGGCAAGGTCATTTCCCTTGGCACTTCTAAGAGAGCTGCTTTTTGAATTTAATAGTGTTGTTAAGGGATGTTTGAACAGTGAAAAAAACTCTCCAGGTTGATATGGACACATTGAGTTTCAATAGATAGAAACAGCATGGCTGCCCAAGTTATTTTTTAATGATTATCCCATTGGTCAGCTCAAAAAACTGAAACTGTTTTATCATCAGAAAGGAAACTTTTCACCGATAATTTACTGAATTTATTAAACAAAACTAGCTCAATTACCCAAGAACACCCCAAATGTTCACGCCTCACTTATTTTTTGGGGACAAGTTGGTGATCAATTTGAATTTAAGTCCATAACATGTGGGAGCAGGAGGAAGTTTGATTTTGTTGAACTATGATAAAGTTCAAGGCACTCTACCAGGCTGCCATTACAAGCTAAGATCGTACTGATATATTGTACTGCTGAGTCCTATAGTACATGAACCAGCTCTGGTGTGGTTTGAGCTGAGGCTGAGCTGCTATAAGTGGTTGGTTTGACTGATTGTTCAGGTGAATCCTGACTGGTGATTGGGTGGCAGCTTCTGAGGACTTTTTTTTAAACCAGCTACCATTGTGTTTTATTGACTCCCAGTGAGTCAGCATATTTAAGTTGTGCTTTATTGCTGCTTGTTTCTTTGTTTCTGTCCTGAGAGATGTATGAGTGGGCTGTTTCTTTTCTGTTTTTGTTTTGTTTGTTCTTTTATTCTGTATTTTTTATTTAGGCGCTCAGAGACTGATTGCTTTTTGGTTTATTCTGTTTGCTTGCTATAGGCTAGGTTGAAAGCTTCATTATTTTATTACTTTTGGGTGTATTCCAGCTGTTAGCAACTTTAGCACTGTTTTGGCTAATTGAGAGTAATAAAAACACGCTAGAGGTAGTGGAGGATATAGCATTAAATCACATTTACTCACAGGAAGACACCGACACAAAATCATTATCTGCTGCTTGCTCGAGCACATTATAAATTGTTCAGTATGAGTTGTTTTGATGTGGTAATAAACCACTTGGGCAACATTAATTGACTTTTAGGTAAAGGTAAGGTAAATTCACTTCCCCCAAGGACAAATACTTGAATTTATACTTGGTTCTATTTGTGACAGTTCTTATAAATAATAAAAAAAAAAAAAAGCTATGTTTGGTGTTCTAATGGACGTTATCATTACACACCAGGCAGTATTCCCTCTGCTTATTTCACTAAGTATCTGCAACATTGCGTATCAGTGTTCAGGGCAGAGCGCTTGATCTGTCTGCCAACTTGCCACGCACTTTGGATTCTCTCCTGTCCCACCCTGCCCTGAAACAGCTCTGCATGCTCTCTGGTTTTTGGTAGCCAAGTCTGACTCAGAGATACTGGTGTAAGGTTACACTCCAGTGTGTGTGTGTGTGTGTGTGTGTGTGTGTGTGCGTGTGTGGGTGTGTGTGTGTGCGTGTGTGTGCACATGTTTGAGGCATGGGTACAACTATCTTTCTATGATTTGTGGATGCAGGCCTGTAATGAAAGCATCTTCAGTGCAGCATTGGCTCAGTTAGCACACAATCGTTTCCATGCCATGCAGTGACATCTTAAAATTAAAAGAGAGAATAATCATATAAAAGTAAAAATTGCTGTTCTGGTATGACAAAAGCACAGCTAGAGCCCACTAGTAAAAAAAATTGAACAAAAAAGTGTCTTCACCTCCTCTTGAAATGCCAACCTTTAATCATTCTGACCCCATCCAGCCAATGATGTAATTTATATAGACACCAGAAAACAGTGCCAAGGATCGTTCATCAACTTTTGTCCAAATTTGACAGTGATATCTGAGAGATGTTTGTGTAATAAATTTTAACCTTCAGTGATCAAATCAGTGTAGGTTTTTAAAGTCTGGAACACAGAGTGAAGATATATGGTCGCTGCAGGTGTCAGACCGGTGGTGCTTAAGAGCTGAAATATCTTATATGAGGAATGGATGGACAGACACACAGACAAACCTGACGCAATCAATAGATCATATCACCAGACAGCCTGGTTAAATATGTCTGCACAGAACAGACGGATTTCGTGCATTGCAGGACAGACTGTGCTCCTAAGTCAAGGACGACTCACAAAAAACAGACAAACAGAAGCACAACAAACACAATCATCAACCAATCTTTGCCTTCCGCGGATGAAAATGGAAACCCGAGTATAGTGTTGTTGAAACAGATCATTTTTATTACTTCTTTTTTTACACAGCATGGATGTGTTTATGAAAGCTTATGACACTTAAATGCACAATATGTAAATTTATGTCGCTAGGAGTCTCGCAAATCAAAACAATAACAAAACCAAAATATGGAGTTTGGTGACGTCGTCAAGTAGCGTGGGATCATGGGCGATGTTGTCTTTACCACCATTGCCATCGTTGCAAAACAAATGTACCCAGTGATTAAATCCAGTAAAAACATTGAATAAAGCAGTTTCACTTTTAAAAAAATCAATGTTCCTCTGACACCGTTAGGACATCTCAGAGTGGCCAGCAAACAACCCGCCCGTTAATGTTTGCTCAGCTTGTTAATTTAAGATCCA